AGTCGGCGGTGTTTATTGACCTGGAGATTTCGTTCATTTTAACAAAAGGCCATAGTAAAAGAGTTTCAATAATACAGGAGCATATACATTGTACATAGAGATTCTACACTATGAAGTGGCAAGTCTGAAAAAGCCGTAGATTTCGAGAAATCAATCTCATTGTGCGAATAGCCAGCGGCTTTTATGCGCTGATCCCTCACGGATTCACGAATCGACGGATTGATACAACGAATCGAAGCCTTAGCCCGAATTTCCCGAATCGGTTTTATTTCCGTCACGGATTTCACGGATTCACGGATTGATACGCAGGACTGAGGTTTTCGCCCAAGTTTCCCGGGTACTTTTTGTTCTTGCCGGTCAGTGGCTGTCGTTCACCTGAAAGTCGCAAATGAAAAAGGGTATAGCACTGCTCTTTATGTTCTTAGCGCAGGGCAGTGTGCCTGCCAGCGCGAGGATTCGCATAAATAAGTGTCTAATAATGCATAAAACTGGGTTCTAGAGGGGGCGTGGACAACCATTCCACGCACCTACTCTCGGAAATGAGAAAAAATTTTGTCAAATGAATGTGTGTGCTCTGAGCTTGGAAATGTTCTCACTATGTCCCCGCCGTATGTTTGCTGGGTCAACGGAAAAACATGTTTGCTAAGCTTTGTTCAAACATGGCATAAGTAAGAATTAGGTCTCCTTGGAGGCGGCGATACTCCAGGGGAAAAAGATCAAGAATATTGAGGCGCGTTCCGTAGTCCACGGATTTGAGACCGGCAACCATTTTCACAGTGGCTCGCTGGAAACGCTCAATGAGGGTGATGTCTTTCGTACGTTCTGAGTAGACAACTTGGTTGGCGTACTCCTGGGTTGGTCTGAGCAGAGTATTTGGAAGTCTATGCGAGTAATACGGGAGAAGGCGCGTCGAGTCATCCGGAAAATGGTGAATACCTTTCGGGACAACTTCTAATGGTGCGGTGAGAAGGAGAAGTTTGAGGAGACCCAGATGCCCAAATCGCTTTTGGCATCTATCCTCCTGATGTTTGCTGGTCCTTTCTCACCACGCGCAACAAAAGCATTCGCTGGGTCTCCTCCAAGCGACATACGGACGCACTTTTCGCCGTTCAGTGGAAGATGCCAGTCCAACGACCACTGCTTTGCGGCTTCTACATCCACTTGGAGGGCACTGTCATTGGAACTCCAGGATCTCAAGTCGTCCGTAAAAGGTAGACATGGACTAGCGCGAACATCTGGTCCTCGCTGACGTAGATCAGAAACAATACTGGTCCCACGACGGAGCCTTGAGGAACTCCAACGGAGATCGGCGCTGAGGAAGAGTAGGTCGAGCCTATTCTACCTCGGAATCATCCGTCTGATATGAACGACTTGATCCCGCGAACGATTTTCCCTTGAATCCCGTAAGGCTTGTTTTTTGGAGCAGCGGGACGTGGGGGCCCCTATCAAATGCTTTTGGGAAGTCGAAAAATATGTTATACGATATGAGTCCTTCGTCCTTGGCTTGGGTTAAGCTGTCCATGACCATGAACATGTTTTCACGCAAGAGCTGTCTGGGAGAAGCCCGTGTTGAGCTAGAGATATCATGTTGCCAAAAGTAGGGTGATCTGGGATAGCTCGCTTCAGAAAGCGTTCCATCACCTTGCACGGCTGATTGGCTCATAGGTTTATTAGCCTATATCTGCCAGGCGATAGTCGGTCACCAGTTTTGTATACCGGCGTGACAATCGCTTCCTTTGAAGCGGAGGGAATGCGGCTTTCGTCAAGCGACTGACGAAACACCAGGTGTAAATGATTTGCCAGTGTGGACGACGTTTCCTTCAGGACCCGTGGATAGACCTTGTCGGGCCCCAATGCGCAGAATGGGTTGATCTTGTGCAAGAGTTGACGAATGTCCTCCACCATGAAGACCAAGTCGGTTAGAGGCTGTTCTTAGTTACGCACTGAGAAGAGTGGAAATGACGAAGACGCTGGGGCTGAGTATAGACACGCATTGTGTTCTCTGTAAACTTCAAATACCACTGTTGGGTCACTCGTCGGTTCTCCGTTTCGGTCCCTCAAGGAGAACGCGGAGGGTTTGTTTCCGCGGCGATGTCTCGTGTATTCGAGCAATGCGTTTTTTTTTCGAGCGTGGTGCAGAATGGTGGCTTGTTTTCGTATGTTCCATTTGCGGATTTTTGATTTACAGCGGTTCCGCATTTTACGAAATGCCAGCT